GGCAAAAACAAAGGGGCATCCCATGGCACAGCGTCGCTCAGCCACCCACAGTAAAGCTGGAAGCTGCAGCTGCCCATGAGCACGGACCCCCCATGGGCTCCCCGTGCTCTAAGCCCTCCCCAGGGTGCAGCGGTATTCAGGGCAGCCGGAGAGACAATGCTCCGGTGCTGGCTTAGCTTCTGGGACACGGGGATGCTGAGATTCCTACATCAGGCTGGGGGGTTCTCCCTGCGTCATTGGTCCCCTGGGGCCCACAGTTTGTTCAGCTGATGAGCCCCTCGGCACTGGGGCTGCTTGGGGGCTTGGTACCAGGCACTGAGGCCAGTGCCTGCCGAGGTCAGCTGTAACCTCCCCACATCCTGAGGCACCCACACCAGCTTATCTGTGTTACAACAAAGTTTCAGCCACTTGACTCAGACTAACCTCTTGCCACAAACAAATCCCTTCCTGAAACCTCCTGCATTACACCGTCTTCAAAACTATTTCATTTAACTCTGTGCACTGCATCCAACTTTGCGCTGCTCTTCAAAAGTGTTCACAAAACGTGAGCATGAGGGTGCTGAGACTATTTACTCATTTATTAAAAAAGTCTGCACAGCCTCACTTAGAAAACAGCCTCGTGCTGCTGCCTACCTCCCCCGGAGCACACGAGGCTCAGTGAGTAACTCAGGGGTACCAAGAGCTCCAAGTACCGATTTCCGCCTCTTGAGAGAGGTGCAGCAGCAAAGGTAAAATTTAAGAAATGCACAGAGCTGGAAAAGCAACAGCAAACATCCCTCCCAACCAAGCAGAGCTGAGCCTCCAGCCCAGGAATCCACCTGGAGAACTAAAGTATCCCAAACGTTCCCGCAGCCAACGGCAGCACCGGGAAAAAGGAGGAAGAGGAGGAGGAAAAAAAAAAACCAAACCCAAACCAATTACGTAAGTGGAGAAGGAAAGATGCGAAAAGAACAGTAGGCACCAAGACTAACTGGGTCCCGAAAGGGCGGGCAGAAGAAGCTCACCTCCCCCGGGAGGCCCCCGGGAAGCCCCGCGCTGCCCGACA